CCACAGTAAATAGATGAAACCCACTAGCATGAGTAGGAGTTGTTTGAGCCCTAATGTGCCTACTCATTCATGCTTGTTGTCATGCCTGCTATTGCTTAGAGTTGTGTCAGGTCTGATTCATCGGGGATGAATTGGAGGTGTGTGAACATGTCCTACTGTTGAGAGCTAAGTGTGTGAACACGATTTGGTAAAGGTAGCGGTGAGAGGCCATGTAGGAGTACATGGTGGGTTGTCTCATTGAAACCGTCCTCAGGAACTGAGTTCTGTGTTTGTGATCCATGACCAGCTACTACCACGCATTGGAATGCTTAAGTGCCCCTCTCGACTTATTAATCAACTTGATCTCTGTCCAGGAGTTGCAACTAGTTTCTGGTGTTTGTAGGTAGTGCTAGTAGTCTACCAAGTGGCACCCGGTACAGGTGGGCTTGGGACAGACTAGGCGCAGTGGCCCGGTGTACCAAGTGGCACCCGGATGGTGGGCTTGGGAACCCTGCACACATCGTTTGGGGCCGTGAGCGACACCCCGGCCGGATCTCCTTGCGGATGGAACCTGAATAGGCGATAAACCTGGATGAGAGACTTGTGTGGTTCGTCAGGTCGTGGCCGACACCCTCGCTGGGCTTCCGCTTGAAGGTTGCCGAGTACATGTCGTGTAAACGGCGGTAAGTGGTGAGAGCGTGTGTGAAGAAGTACACCCCTGCAGGGTTAATATGATCTATTCGAATAGCAGTGTCCGCGGTAAAGGACTTCTGAGTTACCTATACAGTTCATAGACAAGTGAAAGTGGATACTCTAAAATACGCAAGATAAGCGTGAGTGCTATGCATGGCGTTCTCGTAGAGAGACGGGAGTGGATTCATAGTGGTGTATTGATATCGTGAATATGTGGACTCGTGTGCGCCACCTCAAAAGAGTTACTTGCAGTCATAGTTTAGGATAGCCACCGAGTCAAAGCTGACTTGCTGCAGTTAAACCCCACCATCACCTTTGTTGATAATGATGCATATGTAGTTAGTTCTGATGTAAGTCTTGCTGGGTACATTTGTACTCACGTTTACCTATTTAACGTTTTTGCAGAGAGACTTCAGTCTCGCTAGTAGTTCCACGTGAACTTCGACGTTTAGCTTGTTACCTCAGCTACGATCTTGTGCCCTCGGCAGGATCTGGTAGATAGACAGGCATCTTAGCCTTTTTCATTTGTAGATGTCTGTACTCAGACATGTTAAGCTTCCGTTTGTGCTTGACTTGTGTGCTTTGAATGCTGGGTCATGAGACCCATGTTTGTAATATCTCGCTCCTCAGAGCCTATTAAATAAATACTTTGAGTCGTAGAGTTATGTTGTGATGCCATGTTGTATTTGCACATATCGAGCATATTGTGTGAATGTTATTGAAATGCTTGGTATGTAACACAAACATTTTCTAAAAGTTGGACGAACAATTTTTATAAACTACATGAACAGTTTTAAATGTAGCACGAACAGTTAACAAAATTAACTAAAATATATTTCATAATATGTGTATTTTGTATTTTTCAAAATTTAAACAAAAGTAAAAAAGAAAAAAACACGTCTGTGATGTCATATCAACATGACGAAGTCTCGTGGCTACCTGGCCGGCCACTGGCTTCTGTCTCACTGAAGGCGAGACATACCCGTGCCCGCAATTCGGCACCTGAAGCGCCAAATTGGAGCCCTCGTGGATAAGGCCTTTACGGATCTTATGAGCTATATATAAATTACTAAAACATGTTTACATTTTCCGAAGGCTCTCCCATAACCCTATGCCTAAGATCATTGTTGTTCCTAAAAAGAACACATTATGAACACTTTTCCAAATACAATGTTTGAACAGTTTCTGAATACGTCTTATTTTATTTTATTTTTTGAAATACAGGTTGAATTTCTGTTGAGTGAGATGAAACATTTTTAAACTATGTGAACATATTTTGACATTGTATAAACATTTTTTAAATGTCAAAAAAATATTTTTGTGAACACGTGCACATTGCTTATTTGCTTTAAATGTAACATACATTTTTTTTGAATAGTACAGAACATTTTCAAAGTTATATGAACATTTTTTTACATTGTAAACATTTTTTTCAAATATGCCTTGTAAATTTTTTAAACGAGTGAGCGTTTCTAAAATGTCACATGCTTTTTTTGATTGACACAAACATTTTCTAAAAGTTGGACGAACAATTTTTATAAACTACATGAACAGTTTTTAAATGTAGTACGAACAGTTAATAAAACTAACTAAAATATTTTTCAAAATATATGCATTTAGTATTTTTCAAAATATAGACAAAAGTAAAAAAAGAGAAAACATGTCTGTGATGTCAGCATGACGAAGCCTCGTGGCTACCTGGTCGGCCCACTGGCTTCTGTCTCGCTAAAGGCGAGACATAGCCGTGCTCGCAGTTTGATGCCTGAAGTGCCAAATTGGTGCCCTCATGGATAAGGCCTTTACGGATCTTATGAGCTATATATAAATTACTAAAAATCTCTACTCCTAATGGAGCAGTTGGTAGTCTCGCTTCCAGGTTTTTTTCGTCCCACCACTTTCGTCCGGTTTTTTTTCGTAGGTTAACCGTCGTAGATTTTTTTCGATGTTGATTTCTTATTCACCGGTTTGTTTACCCCTCAGCTCTTTCCTTGCAAATCAGCACTTTCTAAACGTGCACGAAATCACGGATCTAAATTTACTAACTTATTCAAATCAACCGATACCTTTCATTATTGCAAATTTCTTTAGGAAACAAATAATAGATTTTAAGGAAACAAATAAAAGATTTTAAAGACGCATCATACTTTACTAACAATCACTAAAAATCAAATCTAAATTAATTAACCTTACCTTAAATCACTCAATCACTTTAATTAGAAAACATTTCCTTTCCTAACTGCATCCCGCTTAGTGTGCACATAACAATCCGAAGTAATTAGAGTCACATGATTGAATCCATTTATTTAGAGCGACATGATTGAATTCATTTATTAACAATAATCCTCACCAAAAGTGCGTTTAGCAATTTTAGAGGGCGGACAAAAACTCTGCCATCCGCTCACCCACGTTTGTTTAGGTACAAGAAAAAATGGCATAATATATGGAAACAACACGACCGGGGCGGCAGCGCAATCTTCGGGGATAGGGGATCGGAGGAGAAGGATTGGCCTGGCAGCATGATCGGGGTGCTTCCCCACGGCCGCGGCCGTCCTCGCGATGCCACCTACCCGAAATCAACGCTGCTCCCTGCCGTCAGCCGAGGCGACGCAGCCTGCCCTCCTACCCACGGTCCGCTGCCGCGTGCAGCTACGGCGGGAGGAGTAGCGACGGGGCCGAGGTCCTTCATGCGTTCCGGGATGGAGGCCATGATTTCGTCGAGGTCGTTGCTGCCTCCTACACTTAGGGTGTGTCGCCGAGATTGAGGTGAGCATGAGGAGCTGTGGCCACCGCCATGGTCACCCCATCGCAGGGGATGGAGCACGCCATCGGCCTACAGCTTGTGGAGATCACCGTTGCTCTTCAAGTCACGTGGTGACCGGATCTTGCCGATGTGTCCCTCCCCAACGACCTCCTCTTTGCCCGGTTGGCCGGCATGGATCTCGCCACTGCTGCCCTCAACTTCTCTGCCTCGAGCTCGACGGTCAGCCACCATGGATCCCCCAGCTGGAGGGTCACGTGAACCAGCCGTCCTCCCATGCTGCAGCGGCGAGAAGGTTTCATGGCTCTCCGTACACGAAGAGTGGAGTTCAGTCAAGTACTTATATACTTGGCCTCTACTGCTGATCCATGTACATGGAGAAGAACAGACAACCGCTCATTCATGCTTCGTTCCACTCCTTTGCGCTACATTACTGGAGGTGACATTTTCCTATCTCTCTATGTTGTAACAAGCCTGCTGCTTGCATAGTTAATGGATTTTTTATTTAAATATATCGCTGCTTAGTGCTTTGTTGCAATTGTTCACCCAAGATTCTTATATATAATCTGAGCGTATGTAGGCATACTTAGCTTTGCTATTCCATTTTTTCTGGCGCATAGAAATAAGAGTATTGTCCAGGTTAGGTATTCAATTGAGTATGGTATTTGGATTGCTATCAGAATGTCTTTTCTATGCATGTGATTTCTCAGATCTGGTTATAATATTTGTGAAGACGTGCATTGCACGTGCACTTGGAAGCGGGCCCGTGGCCCGCACAGGACGGCGTCGACGCCGACCCGAGCCACCTCGTCCGCGTATTCTTGGAGCTATGGCTGGTCGATTTACATGAAATTAATTCCCTCAGTTCTGGTGACAAATATAATACACATAATCCATATTGTTATGCACTAGTGTGTATGTGTGAAATAGATGGATTATGGTCCCGTACGCAATAAGATGGATATGTGTGTGTGTTAGAGAGAGAGGGAGAGGGGGATAGAGAGTGAGGAAGAGGGAGGGAGAGTGTGTGTCTATGTGTGTGAGGATTTGATGGTAAAAAAGATCGCCAATGTCGTAATATTGAACTCTTAAAGTTAATGTGGCCCCGTTGCAACGCACGGGCGTTCTTCTAGTATGTTTAGATTTCCAAAGGCTCTCTCATGACCCTCTGCCTAAGGTCATTGTTGTTCCTAAAAAGAACATATGTGCGTCAGATTTTTTTTAGAAGTTTCACAGAGCTTGTTGGTATTATTACTAGATGATGAAAAAAACAATATAGAGAGAAAGACTAGAAGATAGCTAACATGGCAAACAAGTTTTATTTCTGCGACATGGTTGTACACACACAGCGACATGACTTATGAAAAGCAGAAGAGGATACAAAGGTAGCATGCATCGCCAACACAAAGCGTGCACGCACGCAGGAGCACGATCGGATCGGCCAGACGACCAGAACTTACTCCTACAAACGAGTGAAAGTTAACACCTTACGTAGGATCTACTAGTGCAACCGGCGGCCGGCGGACCGCGTCGGCCGGCGCCAATCGAGCTGCTGGTAGTGCGTGACTGACTAGCAGGAGGCCGCCCCGTAGCCGCACTTGCCGGGGATCTGCATGGCGCGGTTCACGTCGATGTTCTTGGGCAGCACGCCCTTGTACTTGCAGAGGCAGTGGAAGTCGCCGCCGTGCACCGCGCCGCAGCACGCGCCGCTGGGACTGGCCTCCGTGCTGCCCACCGTGCAGTAGGACCTGCAGTTGCTCACCATGCTGTCCGTGTCCACGTCGCAGACATGGTACCCGGCCGCGCCCGTCGCCGCCGCCACGACCAGCAGCGCCACCAGCGCGGCAGCGACGCCGGCGTTGCTCATCACCCTCCTCCCGGCGGCCATGGCTAGCTAGCTGTCGGATCGATCGACTGGTTGATCAGCTGCGCTTGATGTGTGCGTGTGTGGGGGGCAGTCGGTTGTCTGGGTGTGTCACGTTGGGCGATGGCTAGTGTTTATATAGCGTGGGGATACCGTCGCCCGTGACGACGTGCATGTGGCCGCGCGCTTGGCCGCATTAGGTCACGGGCAAAGCTAGCCAGATCAGATCGTCGGCACACGGAGCCATCCATTCAACGCGAACGTATATTTCCACGTACCTGCATGCGGTACGTACTGGCAGTGCAGACCGAGCCAATGGGCAAGTACGAAGCCGGTAACATGTGAGTCTTATTTCTTGGCTGGAATTGGAGGTATGTTGGGGCGCCGTTTTGTGCCAAGTGGGCGAATTTATCTGAATCCAGATGGAGTTCAGAGCATGGCGTCTACAGAGTAATTCATGTGCATGGCCAGCGAATGGGACATATTTATTCGATGCTAGCTAGCTAGATATATAGCTCACGGTCTGGCAGTAAACGAAGTGCCATGCATTTGTCTGAATCCTAATGTTTGGCCTATCGTGATTCAGGAATGTCATGCATAGCACTGTATTTTGCTGCGGGGAAATGGAGAGGGGTTGTGTGTTGATTTTTGTGTTACGAAAGATTGGGTTGTGGGTTGTTAACACACACTCTCCTCATTTTATTCTTTGAGAAATCTATGGACAGAAAATTGCTCAAGATCTTAAACATGCGAACGATTTGTCTACCATTGTGCGTTGATTTTTTTCTGCTAGCCAGACTAAGTCGCAAACGTCCTCTATGAAGAAGTACAAGAGGAGTGTTAGATAATAACGAGAAATAAACGAGACAAAGAGATACGGATTTTTACGTGGAAACCCTTGCGGGAGAAAACCACGGACGCACGAAGACGTATCACTATAATTGGAAGGAGTATTATATTACACGAGAGGACAAACCCTCTACGTGCTAATCTGGTGGAGATCTCTCTCATCTATTCTATGACTAGCTCGTACTATATAAAGGGGCAAACAACTCTCTTTCTTGGTGGACACGAAACGGAGTTGTAGTCATGCTACGTCTAGCACGGTTGGCATGCCATAGTCCGGTAGGGCTCCATCTATAGTACAACACTTGTATGGGATTCGGAACACAATAAAATAACACTTCACCTTGAGACGAAATCCCTTACAATAATCATAGATAGCATCAACTCCTCAATTAAAGTCATCACAAGTAAACCTTGTGCCTGGAAACGTCCACAGGACTAATGAACTTTTCATGAAGTCATATTGAGCAAATCAGTCAGTAGGTCGTCCAGAAAACAACACAACTATCAACAAAGCAGACTAACAAAACTTGGTCTCCCAATAAAAGTCTGAGTCTGTGCCACTGACCTCAAAAACTGAAACTGCTCAATCATCAAATGACATAAGTCATCATATCTCCTGTGGTGCATGAACGAGCGCATAGCTCATAGAGCAACATCTTGGTGCACATCGCATTGTGAAGAACTCATCTTACGGAATCTGGACGTGCTTCAAAACAGAAAGCACAAACCTCGGCAAACAATACTCATGCAAGAGCATATGGTACGGATGGCATCGCGTGCACCCAAAAAACTGCCGACTTGTAGTGGTTAATGAAAAATCCATGACATGGTCATAAACTGTCCTTGTAGAACAACTGTCGGATGAAGGAACCATCTTAACATGCAACGGAGTTTCAACTCTGCAATAGACCCCTCTTGAAAGAGCAATGACAACTGAATTGCACTTGAAACTTAATAGCGCTAAATGTTGTAGTATCTAGCAGAAACAAATCAATCTCATTCTTGCACCTCAACTGATTCTCATCACGAACATGAATATGGAAGCAAAACCTTCACATGCATAACAGCAAAAAACTATGGAGAGAATAGAGTATATGCTGGCTACCAACAGGCTTAATAATTACCTCCTCCATACCCTTTTTTTTTCTTGATAATTGAATTGTGTTCTTCAAATAACTGCAACAATATTGCATCCATTATCCCGACAGGCCATAAGCCTCAAAACTCCACCTTGAAGAAAAAATACTGAGTGCATCCTGATAATCGGCTTGCGCCAACAATGCTCGCATCTCGACTTGCTATAGGGATAAACTTTGTGTCATGCTCCAGCAGCAGCAGAACATCATACTTCATGGATATCATGAGTAGATTAAATCTATGTACACAAAATAGTATAAGCCGGTAGAAAAATTCTGGACAGAATTTAATATACGGAGCAAAAAAAAACTAAAACAGATAGCACCTGGTAGAACGGCTCGGGTAATCGAAGACCAAACACATGATCTGTAGCTTGACGTGACGAATAGTACTAGTAGCTAGTAGTAGTTAGCTGATCTGACCTTGTAGAAAGATTAAACAATTCTGGACTTTGCTTCACGTGAAGGGAGAGGCGGCTAATCTGAAGTCTTGGGACTTGATCCTTGTACGCAGCCGCGAAGGAACCCGGCGCCTTGCAATTTGACGCGACGGTGCGGCGGAAGTTTGTGTCGGCCTCACACAACTGGTTGCGTATGAAATCTTGTCGGTCTCGGATTCTGCGTAGGGCGGCGCAGCAGAAATCGATCCGGTGGATCGCCGGCTCGCGTGCGGCGGCGCACACGACGAAACCTTAACTCTCTCGTCTCAAATCTCGTATTTGTAACTTGGTTCTGTATATCACTTGATAACAAGAAATAAATGAGACAAAGAGACACAAATTTTTACGTGGAAACCCTTGCGGGAGAAAAACCACGGAACGCACGAAGGCGTATCACTATAATTGTAAGGAGTATTACATTACACGAGAGGACAAACTCTCCACGTGCTAATCTAGTGGAGATCTCTCTCATCTATTCTATGACTAGTTGGTACTATATAAAGGGGCAAACAACTCTCTTTCTTGGTGGACACGAAACAGAGTTGTAGTCATGCTACGTCTATCACGGTTGGTATGCCGTAGTCCGGTAGGACTCCATCTGTAGTACAACACTTGTATGGGATTCGGAACACAATAAAATAATAAGGAGGAAGCACTCACTCGATAAACCTATCAGGAGAACAGTGGCATAATTTTTTCCATGTAAAATGCACATATGTTCATGTTTCAAACGTGCATGTCTTTGATCAAGTGTCATTACAAATATTTGTATTTTGGCATTAAGGTTTCCAGTGGCGGTGCGACATGTTAGGAGCTTTGATTAGTGATGGAGCTACATGGGCGGTCAAGACTGAAAAAGAGGATCAAAATATTTGAGCAAGGCTGGTAGGGTTGTGTTTTGCTCTTGGGATGGATGGGTTCAAAGTGCATGTAGCCCCTAAGTGTAGTTTTTTCTTTTTGCGGGTGTTAAGTGTAGTTTTGGGTTCACTAGAAAAAGAGTGGTTTTCATAATTAATTACAATCCCTATGGACCAATGTTGTCATTGAAATGTATTTTTAGGATTGTTGCATAGGCAATGCATGAACAATATTGAATGGATTCAAGGTCTCAAGAGAACGAATTATGACAAGATTTCAGAACATGACTCCGAGATACCATCATGGTGAGCTCATGACTTGATTCATGATCAAGTCTTGAAGTAAGTAATTCAAGTGGATATTTCATCATGTGCCTCAAGATATTGTGGTAGAGGGCGACGAAGACAAGTGATTGTTAGAATATATAACCGTATTATGTGTATAGATATACGGTTATATATGTGTAGTCTTGGTATAGGTGTCCGTATATTGTATGATACGAACTCTGCCTTGTAACCTCTATATATTGATCAATACAAGGCACCACAACGTGTGGTTTCCCCAATCTTACATGGTATAGAGCCTAAAACCCTAACCCTAGCCTGTGCCGCCCTCCTCCTCTTTCCGCTGCCACCGAAGCCACCACCCCTCTCGCCGCCGCGCCCCGATCGCCGCCTCCATGTCGCAACCTGACACGGACGCCACGAACCAGGCGCTGGCCGCGGCCAAGGAGCGCCAGGACGCCGAGGCCGCCAAGGCCAAGCTACCTCTCGCGACCGCCCCCGATGGATCTGGGACGAGCACGGGGTCTTTTTCCTTGACCTCGCTGCACGCCCAGGCCGTCGGCCTGCACTCCATCAAGGGACACGTTCCCGTCAAGCTCGCGCTTGACACCGGCGTTCACCGTCAGTGGCGCACCTTCTTCCGCGCCGCTTGCCGCAAGTACGCCCTCCTGGATCATCTCGACTTTGACGCCCCCGACGCGCCGAACCCGGAGTGGTCTCTCCTCGACGCCACCGTCGTCTCTTGGCTCTATGGGTCTGTCTCGCTCAGCATCCTCGACGCCGTCATGACGCCCGGTGACGACCCCCTCGCCGTCGATCTCTGGAACAGCATCAACGGTCTCTTCAACGACCACAAGATCAATCGTAAACTCCACCTCACGGCCGAGCTCGGCGATCTCAAGATGGGAGAGATGACCATGGCCGACTATCTTCAGAAGGTCAAATCCCTCTCCGATGGGCTTGCGGATCTTGGCGCCCCCGTTGATGATGCTGAGATGGTGGTCCACTGCCTCAACGGCCTCTCCGAGCAATACGAGGCCGCCGCTGATCTCATCTCCCTCATGCCGGGCATGACCTTCGCGCAGTGCCGCTCGTTGCTCGCGCTCCAGGACATGAAGCGCAAAAATCGCCGCGCCCGCAACTCCGACACGGCCCTCTTCACCAACACCGCCGGCAACCCTGGCAACACCGGCAACCCGGGCAAGGCCTTTGGAAAAGGAAAGAAGAAGAAGAAGGCTGCCACTGGCGTCGCCAAGGAGATCATCCCGGCACCCGCGACCCCGTTGGCTGCCACTCCCTCCTGGCCTTCACCACAGCACCCCTGGAACGGTGCCATCCAGATGTGGCCCTATGGCCAGGGGGGCCTGCTCGGCCGTGCGCCGCCCGCCTACGCTCCCGGCTACGTGCCCCGGCACACCCCGTCGCCGCATGTGTTCTACGCCCAGAACCCGTACGGC